GTCTCATCTCAGTGACGCAGGTATCTTTTTCTCAATGCTCCTCTGCTGACTGTAGAGATGCGGAAGAGAATCTCCAACGGCCAAGGTCCCAGTCTACGATTCTTCGGTGATTCTAACTCATCGAACTTTGAACGAGACGATGCCTTCAAGGTTAAGCCGACCCTGGCATGCTTGCTTGAGCATACGGAATTCCTCTCGTCGAATGCGGCGATGCCAGTATTGGTACAAGGAGTGGCTGTTGGTGTAGACTATCGCACACTCCCAATGAATGTCGCCCCCTACCTCCGCATCACTGACCAGGGATTCGTACCCCTACGAATGCTGCCCCCAGATATGGCTGGTGACCAGGAGTCTGTTGAGAAACTTATTGATATGTCTAAGTTATGCGGTCTCACCATCAAAAGCTTTTCATTGTCTTCTTCTTCTTCTTCTTTTTCTTCTTCATCATCATCATCATCATCCCGCAAGAGGCCGCGAGAAACATACCCTAAGCTTGGTAATCGAGGCCGTGTTAAACTTCGAGGGATGATAGCTGCCGCCGTTAAGGGACATTCTCGGGAATGGAAGCTCTCTCGAGGGATCAGGGATTTGAAGAGCGCTAGAGTGAAGGATCTCATACGCATGGCTGACGAACTTGGTCTGAGTGAATATATTGATACTGTTGCCTTAACCTAGTACCTCCGTAACTTTTATTATGATGGCAGATGTAGACACGTCTCAGGCCTCATTTATACCCAGAGAAGTGTCGAATCTAAGAGGTCCTTGTCCTTCAAAGGATCCTGAATCGTATTACAATTTTCAATCTTCGACAACTATGGTCGCCTGGATGTGTAGTCTCCCGGCTCCTACTCCAATAGTGGAGCCGTATTCCTCGCCAGCGACCCGTCGATTATCATTGCCTATTATTTATTTATTAATAGCAGTTAGCTCACGCTCTCTCAATCAGTCATCAGTTGAGTTCAGTTGCTGGATGTCAGCGTTAAACTGTGAGCATGCTCATGAGTTGGATGAGGAGGGTCATCTTGGTAAACATTGTTATATCCACTTCGTTCGTCTTGATTATGGAGTAGCTTAGAGTAACATATGTGCCACGAACGTGATATGACTGAGAGCAGTAATGAACAGTTATGAGTTGTTTGAGATATCGGACGATTCTTATCATACCAACCGTATATCAGCTGTTAATGGGCTTTCACCAGCATCTCTAGTAGTATATCGGGAATGTTTCAATAAAGGTATGTCATCTATCGTGGGTTATGGCTCTCCTTACTCCTCCCAGCACGAAATTACACCGCTCCAAGGTAGTCGGATGAAACATAATATAACTGTGATAATCATCATAGGCTGCTGCTGTCAGCAAGGGACTCCACCCCCTCGTCACTGTCCTCTGAAGAAGACGATGTTGCCTGGCTGGCCCACACCGATTCCGTCTCGGACGCCGATATCGAGCTGCTCTCATCCTGGTCTTCAAATTGCTCTGTGATGCATCTGATGACAATTAGGAGTCCAAATCAGTGTTTCCTGAGAGTCATCACCTGATAGCGTATCGCACAATAGGGGATAGTTGGGGGACGGGGAGCACATCATTAACACTGCTTCCTTCCGGTGAGACTGCTGGTGGCGATTCAGACGACGTAAGCTCCTTCGTGGAGCCCTCAAAATCCCGCTGGAGATCGATACCTTCTTGACGTTGCTCTTGCAGTAATTTCTCACGGGCCTTCACATCATCTTCATCCTCGACCTGATGTTGTTGTTATCATCATTAGAAAACCCATCACTGATACCAACAACTTACTCCTTCCATTGCCTCTTGGATATCATTGGACGTCATTTTGAGTAGATCAGCCGTAGAAGTAGAGTCATCAGCTACTCCCTCGAGCATGTCAGCAACATCCACACCTGTCCATTTGATAATGGTCTGTGTTGTGAAGGCTCCCTCATCCACAACAACATCATCCAACATCCGCTTCTGTAGTTGCTTATGGAAGATGTTCTCTTCTATTGTATGATGAGACAACAACCTTAACCAAATGACAGACATATTCTCGTTGAACATCTCTAACAAGAATCTACCTGAAGATGTGTACATCACGCGTCTGACCAATACGATGGCATCGATCCATGGCCTGGCGGTCCATTGCAGGGTTCCAATCGGAATCATAGAATATCACGCAATCGGCACCTGATACAGGAGATATCAT